CCGCCGCGCTCGGAGCCCGGTCTGGTGCGGGCAATGGCCCCGCTGCTGGGCGTCGCGCTGCTGTGCTGCCTGCCCCTCGCGGCGGCCGGGGAGCTGGACGGGAGGTGAGGACCGCCGCGCGGGGGAGGGGGGACACGCATGTGCACACGTGGGCACGCCTAGACACACACCTGCCCACGCCGTGCGCATATACACCCTTAGGCGCACCTACGCACACGCTCAGGCACCCATACACACATGCACATGCGTGGGTGCAGACACAGGTGTGCCCGTATACACATGCATCTACATGCAGGCTCATGCAAGCACATGCACACGTGCACAACGCAGGCGTGTATTCACAGGCACGTGCAGACGGACATATCCATTGGGATGTATGTGTGTGTGTATTATGTATGCGTGTGTATATATATAATGTATGCATGTGTATATACGTTGGCATGTGTGTGTATGAATGTGCATACACATACGTGGTGGTGTATGTATATACATTGACATTTATACCTACATATACACCCGCAGGCGCACCTACACACACGCTCAGGCACCCATACACACATGCACATGCATGGGTGCAGACAGAGGTGTGCCCGTATACACATGCATCTACATGCAGGCTCATGCAAGCACATGCACATGCGGGCGCTCCAATGTAAACCACACGTCCCAATATAAAGATACATACACATCCCAGTGTACACACGCAGAAGTCCCTCCCCCCAGTGCTGCTTGGGCAATGGGGCTGCAGCTGGGGGGGTTGTTGGCTGTGGACGGACAAGTGGAAGCAGTGACAGTCACTTGGGGTCTGGGGGCAGCATCGCTCTTGGCTGCAGGGAGCGCAGGCCCCTGCACTCAGCAGCTCCGGAGCTGGCAGATTTGGCAGGCACCTGCCTTGGCTGTTGCCTCCGATGCCAGTGCCCTCCCCGTGGCGGGTAGCCCAGCCCAGCAGCCCGAGTGCCAGGCAGGGAGCTGCGGAGGAGGCAGCCGAAGGGCAGAGCTGGCCAGGGACGGTGCCACAAGTGCCCGGGCAGCCCAGAGTTCCTTTGAAACTGCACCTTTAGAAACTTTTGATTTGTTCCCACAAAGAGGGACATGGCTAGGGAGACAGCCGTGGAGGCACTGCACCAGGCTGGAGGGAGAAGCGGGGCAAGACTCTCTGCCTCTTGTCTTTCCCAGCTCACTGAGTAGCCCAAGCCAGCCCTAGCCAAGTGCCTCTTAATTCCCCCACTGAAGAATGCCTGGCATTGCAAAGCTTGCCTTCCTCTATCCCAACCCCAGAGCAGCTCCAGTACAAGACATCACCCTCAGAAATCCTTGCCTCTCGTTGCAGCCCGGGTATGTGCAGAAATTATTCTGAGAAGCTGTAGGGTCTTGTAGCCATGTGTGTATCCCTGGTACGTGCCAGGCATGCATGCTTTGACAGGCTGTGAACAACCCGGAGCTCTTTTAACTTTGTTACTCAGCGTTTACTCCTACAGGCTGCAGCAGTTAAGCTGCTAATCAGAGCCCTTACTGATGTGCCGTTTATCATAGGGCTTCTTGGATGCTTTTCTCCTACAGAGGGGAGCTGATATTTGAAACTTAGAAAGAAGGGGTGACCGAGGCAAAGCATTCCCAGGTTTGGAGGAAGCACTCAAAATAAGGTAAAAAATAAGGGAAGCCCTGAGATTTTAGCTTCAGGTGAAGGAAGCCCTGAGATTTTAGCCATTGTCCATTTACTCCTCTCCACTCAGACAAAAAAGGCATACCTGTGCATTGTAGCCTACTGTAGTGGCAAAATGAATGAGCTGAGAAAACCAGTTTGTTTTCTTGTTTCTCAGGACTGGTCAAGCTGGTTGAAGACAGTTAGATCTAAAGTAGCTCATGCATATCACCTGGCATCAAAGCAGTTCATGACCTTTGTAGACTGCCTTTCAGGGATACCTCCCTTATACTTATTTTCTTATAATTATCGTCTTGCTACAAAGTCATATTAGATTATTGAGATCATATGGGAATAATTGTCACTTTTACAAACACGATGTTACATATAAAATCGAAAGTAGTGTATTGAAGCTGACAGCTACTGATGTGGGTATACTGTGAAAATTACAACTCAAGTTTAGTCATGAATTTAAGTAACTTAAACTATGAAAAGTGTTGAGGCGCAGGAATGTGTGTGGATTGAATACTGTTAAATTGTGTAAGATGCGGTCAAATATTTTAATGCAATCAGGGACTATTACTGGGGTCTCAAGCGAAAAGGAGAGCTTGCTTAACTAACTTGAACATCAGCTGACATCCTACAGCTGCCAGATATTTTTTAAAATTTGTTTTACCTTGTTATTAAACTATACTAATAGCTTTATGAGACTGCTTTCTGAAAGGTTGCATTTGGAGTCTGAAACCATCCGACTTAATTAGGACAAGTGAAACACTGTAATTTTTTTTCTCTCCCCCCCCTTCATCCCCCCATATTTCCTGCTTGAGGAAAGAAAGTTGTCTTTCATTATTTTTAAGGTTTCTAGACTGAAACTTCATAGTGTGGCTATGATGTCTGTATTACAAAATCAAGCACAGTTAAAACTTGATTATAACAGTTTATTATATATCGTATGTTTTAGACCTCTAATATTGCTTGTGAGCAGCCTGTAAGTGGCAGCAGCGAGCATACTACAAGATACACTAGCCACTATTTCTGGGTTAAAAGATGACACTTCAATCATTTTTCCCTTCTCCCCTCCACTCTCCAACACTGTCTGAGCTCTGCAGTAGATGATGAGAGAAATACCACAGGCTAATCACAAAGCAGCTATGTTTACAAGAAGACATGTTACAAAAGGACAGGGGAGGACAAAGACAATTCCTTTTTAAATATCAAGAATAGTGGATAAATAAGAGTGTGTTCTTTCCCCCCCGTAACTTCCTTTAACTCTCTTGTGCAGGTGGCGTAGGCAAATAATTTCCTCAACAGGATTGTGTCGGTTTGGAAGTAGGATTGACTGTTGCTGGGGCTGGGCCCGTCAGTCGTGGGGGCAGTGCCAACGTGAGTATCATTGCTGCTGGGGCTTTTAGGTACTTTTGTAGGAGGGGCTTATACGCACCTATTTCATGGCTTTCACATATTCATATACACTCGTATACTGCAAGGCTTAGGACTTAAATAGGGCTTTTGCACTGCAAGTCTGACATTTAAAAGGATGCTGTCAGGTTAAAAATCTGATTCAATTTAAAACGCAATCTACACAATAGCACTGTAGAAGTTGAAGCATAAAAACTACCTTTTTATGTTATTGGTGTTTGTTTTTGGTTTAAATTTGGTTTAGGCAGTGAAAACAGACTGGTCATTTTTTTTTCTTTTGCTTCTAATTGATATTCTTTTCTTCTCAGATGGTCTAACAAAGAGCTGTAAGTGTGGGCTCACAAATAGTGCAGCATTATATTGGTCCTGCAGTGAAGGACCAAGTGAAGGAATGCTTATATCCTGGAGGGAAAAAAAATATCATAGGTATTTTAAGCAGCCACTTTATGGCAACAAACCTATTGGTGTTCAGTTAAAATCTTCCTTCAAAGCTCCAGCTGTGCATCTAGTCTGACAGCATCCTTTTAATAGGTCATAAATATAAAAAGATATGTGGATTTCTCTCAATTTCTCATATCATTACAGAATCCTTGCCATAGCTGTTGGATAATCACATAAATAAGACATCATCATTTAACTACTTTTTCACAGCATTATACGAGCTATTTAGAAATGCTAATTTTTCAGGGTATGATAAGAGATCTCAGTCCATTACATTTCTAGCCTTTGATCCTGAAAACAGTTAGTGGCATGATTAACGGGGACAGGTACAAATCATTCCCGGAAATATTTTTGCAGGGTTGGACCTAAAAGTATTGAAAATTCAGCATTTTGATCCAGATACAAAGGTTTTCAAAGCCTATCTAAATTTCTGTAATGTGCAAGGAGAGCTGATAATGAACATTGTTAGCAGCTCGGTTTGCAGTGCAGTGAACATAAGGCAGCAGGTGGAAGTAGCATAAAAAGTCCCAACATAGTCTCTTAGCAAAGGTTTTGTTCAAATCTGTAAATGACAATGAGTGCCCCCTCTGCAGTGAGACTGTTGCAACTAGTTAATTGGTAACAAAAGGTGACTAATTTAAAAGCATGACAGGTACTGTTGGAATATAACAAAATATATGGCAACAATGGAACAAAACTCTATTTAGCGTCTATATGAGCACCAGTCACTTGGATTTTAGCAGTTGGAGAAGTAGTGACGTAGTAGAAAAAAAATGAGGAAAGGGATAATTTCATGAGAATTGTAGCCAATGTGCATCCTTCATATAAACATCAGAGAGAGAATGTTTAATGGCAAATTACAAAGATCATAGGGAAAGCATAAGAATTTTAACTATTCTAATATAATATTTAGTTTTCCCGATTCTCCTTCCTCAGTCAGGTTTTCTACTTGAGCTGTGACAATGAAGTCAGCTCACTAGTAATTTGGACTGAGGACAATCTTCATTCATGATTATCCTTTAGTTCTCAAGCACTCTCAATTCTGTTCGATGTGTGTATATATATATTTGTTTCAGAAGGTGAATAGCCCAAAGGGATGCTGACACAAAAAATAGTAAAAAAGGGAAAAAGGAAAGTGATTTTTTTGCCCAGTAGTAAAAGTGGCAACAAGTTTAATACTTTCAGTTTTCTTTACAGTTGGCTTAAAAATGCCCTTAAAATTTTAAGAATGAAATGTGGTCTTTGTTTTGAGACTTAGTGTTGCTATCAGAGAGTAACTACTAGTTATAACACGGGAGCGGAAAACATCCCTCATTCTTTCTCTTGGCAGCACTGAAGATACCACAGGAAGATTTCTCCCCCTCTCTGCTGCAGTCTCTGCTCCCTTTTAGTATTTCTGTTCCATATTTTATTATTATGGTTGTTTGCTGAATATGGCCCCAAGATGGAAAATAGAAGAGTATGCCTTGTCTTTAAATCTTAAAGACTATTTCTTGTTATTTAGTCACAGCAGCTGTTGGCTCATAAGCTGGCCTTGAAAGTCTGACCTAGTAACATAGATATCAGTTTTCAAAATCAGGATGTTCAGGCATGCAGTCAAGTCTAAAATTATTTTGATTTCTTTTTAAAAAATCTCTAGTAATTATGAATGTGGTTTTACTTATTACTCTGCTATGGTATATTATTCTCTTTGTGGGTGTGTATTTAAGTCTACTATGACATCTCCACAGAACAGCAGGCAAATGCCCACTTCTCATATAGTTTGTTTTCTCAATCTGTTTTGAATGCTTGTATAATTTTTCCCTATATTGCTCATTTTAATAGGGCTATTGTTTGCCTTGCTGCCAATATGGATCAAGGTGACATTATTTTTCTTAAATACAAAGCAGAGTCAGCTAATCCAAGTTGCACTGATGAAAAATGAAACAGAATCAAAAGAGGGAAATGATCTTTTACATATACATTTGAAGACTCATTGGAAAAATGATTACCTTATTACTATTATGTTTTCTTGTTCATGTACATGTTCTTGTACACAGGGTAGGTGTATTAATCAAGTTAAAATTATGTTTTTGAGTGAAGGGAGGTCATAAAAACAAGAAAGAACAGAAGCAAGGATTCCATGAGCGAGAACGCGCGGAGTCTATGCAATGTAAGATGCAGCACAAACTCTACTTGACAAAATGGCAGCTCCCATACAGACTGTAAAAAATCCTTTCTTTCTTGCCTGCCATATTTCTTTTAAAAAAATTAACTCTGAGCTGGGAGTGATGCTGTAGCTCTGATGTTTCAGGAAATATGCCAGAGGCGAGGTTTGGGGAAGTAGATTTAGACAGGCTTTTGACTGTAGAGCATTCTTCCTCATGCACTGCATTTGAAAGTTTATCCAAATCTGTTTCGACCATGCAGTTGGTCCAGGAAAAGCTACCACCCACAAAAATACTTAACTCCAAGATAATTTTTGTAACTTCTTAATTTTTCAAACACACTCCGAGATGAACTCAGTGCTCAGAGCCCATATAACTAGGGTAAGATTTTGAGACGAGTACAGCTCTTATTTGAGTATCAAAATAAGATTTTCAAAACTTCTTGGCACCCAGCAAGATTCTCAGGATCAGATTTTCAAACGATTCTCATCAGAAAGATGCCGAGCTCTTTTGAAATTCTGGCAAATCATTTTGGTTCTGAGAGAGAGAATGAGCGAGAGAGAGGGAGAGAGAGGTGTGGGAGAAATCTGGCTTTGAATCTGGGTGTTGAGCCCTTTAGAAAATTCCAGCCTATGTTTCATGGTGGGAGGTTAAACTAAATGAAAGCAAATCATTCTGGTACTGGCAGCTAAATTGCAACCCTGCCGTTAACGATCCCCTTTAGGGAGGTAG